ATCTAAGTGGCAAGCTACTATTTCAAAGTCTTCTTCTGAGGCCGAATATAGGGCAATGGCTTCAACTATTTGTAAAATTGTTTGGCTTGTCCAACTTCTTTTTGACCTTGGATTCAAGATTTTGGCTCCTATTACTTTATGTTGTGACAATCAATCAACACTTCACATAACATATAATCCCATGTTTCAAGAGCGAACAAAACATATTGATATTGATTGTCATATAGTTCGAGCCAAACTCAAAGATGGTTTACTCAAGACAACTCATGTTTCTACTCATGATCAACCAGCTGACCTCTTTACCAAAGCTCTTGGGAGAAAAGTGCATCATCATCTATTAAGCAAGTTGGGTATGTTGGATATTTATCGCCCTCCAACTTGAGAGGTGGTATTGGAGGATAAACTATTAAGTTTGCTGTATCTTGTTTAGTTTGAGTGGTTATAGAATTAGTTGGAGACAGTTGGATTAACTATAGTTAGTCAATTGTATTAGTATGGTTAAATAGTTGGTTAGTTAGTATACTGTTGCTTAGTAAGTAAAAGATATAAAGACTAAAAGTGTATTGAATTGTAAGTATATTCTCGAACAATGAAATAATATCAAAATCTTTCTTTCTTCCCAAATTACTATGTTCTTCATTTTGTTACAATCACGATGTGTAATTGTTAATAAATTATGTAATCAAAGATTTATGTTATGCTTTGTTAAAATGTGAAGCTAAAACGCAGTGTATCAGTTTAAGTGAAATGCTGCAGTTTTAATGTTAACAGTTGAAGCCAAAAACGCAGCGTGGCAGCGTAAGTGAACTACTACAGATTCAAGTCATCTTGCAATCTTGACCGCAGATTAGAGGCACACCTAAGGGCTATTATTTCACTTAAAAGTCAAGGTACAAAAGAAGCAGCTCTTCATTTTCTGCTACAGCGCATAACAACAAAATAGATCTCTTCTTCTCGACTCTGTATTTTTTACTTTGCTAGGGCTGTTTTATGCTTATTCCAATTCTTGTAATCTTTGTACAATCATTTAGATTGGTCAGTGAAGGTGGTGTTTCCTTCCTGGGTAGAGAAGCTTACGAAGTCTTTCTCTTGGGTTTGAAGATTATGGTAAAAGAGTTGTGTTAGATTAGCAAAGTAAGTTGGGTTGTGTTTGAGATTCTAAAAGTGTACTCTGTAAACATTGTTAATCTTCTTAGTGCACGAGCCTCAGTGTTTCGGAGCTCAACGTGGACCTAGCTTGCTCAAATCTAAAGCAAGTGAACCACGGTAAAATCTTGAGTGTGTGTTTGGTTGTTTCTTGATTCCTTGTGTGATTGATTGGTAGATTGGTGTTTAGTTTAGTCTCAAATCGTTACAATGGTATCAGAGCTAAGTTCTAAGGTTTGTCGATTTCGTCCAGTCCTTGATTTGGGAAATTCTTGATTCTAGGGTTTGTTAAATTGGGGGTTTCTTGATTTAACGGTTCTTGAGGAGTCAAGGGGTCTAGAAATTGTCAATTAGGTTCTTGATTTGAGGAAATCTTTTGATTCTAGGGTTTGCTAAATTGGGGGTTTCTTGATTTAGCTAGTCTTAGGTAATCTTGATCTTCAATAATCTTCAATTAGTCAGTAAATTCGTGGGAATCGAAAAGCAATTCCACGTTCTAGGGTTCAACTGAAAAAACCACAAAATGTCCACCACCACTCGCATGGAAATCACCCAATACGATGGGAAAATTGATTTCAATAGTTGGAAAAAGAAGATGAAGGCTCTCCTGTCTCACAACAAGGTGGGAATTGCATTGGAGAAAAACTCTACCAAATGGCCAGAGGAGAAGCTGAAGAAGAGGGCTGAGATTGATGAGAAGGCTTATAACCTCATCATCTTGAACTTGTCAGACAGCATCCTGAGAAAGGTAGATGGCCTGGAGAATCTAATCGCTTTGTGGGGTAAACTCGAAACTTTATTTGCATTACAATCTACCCCTAACTTAGCATTTTTAAAGGGTTCTTTGTTTGCTTATAAAATGGATGTCTAAGTCTTTAGATGACAATTTAGATGAGTTTTTGAAAATGACGCTAATTCTTAAAGGCACTGACCAAGAATTAGGAGACTCCAGCTTAGCTATGATTTTGTTAAATTCGTTGCCTGAGGATTATCTAGTAGTTAAAAATGCTTTACAGTATACTGGGACTGTCTCTAGTGTTGACTTGATTGTAGCTGGACTAAAATCTAGGGAGTTAGAGTTAAAGACTTAGAAAAGAAATGGCAATAACCTTTTTGTAAGAGGTAGGGTAGAAACTGGTCATATAGGAAAAGAGGCTGGGAAAGGTCCCTAAAGTAATTCAGGCTTTAAGAATAAGAAAAAGGTTAAGGGAAATAATAAGCCTAAAGAGGAGACTAGCAAATGCTTCTACTGTAATAAAATTGGTCATCTTAAGAAAAATTGCTATGATTGGATTAAGAAACAGAAATAGTCTAACATAGAAAGTAACCTAGCATGTACTAATAACAACATTAAACTTTCTGAAGCTCTCACAGTGTCTAATTCTGCTAGTGTTAAAAAGTGGGTATTAGACTCCGGATGTTCCTTTCACATGAGCCCTAATCAAGATTGGTTCCAAAACCTTAGGACTGATGATAGTGAAACTGTATTCATGGGTAACAATCACTCTTGTAGAGTTCGAGGCATTGGTAGCATAACTCTTAAGTTGAATAATGACAAGTTAATCAAACTAACTAAAGTAAGATTTATACCTGAACTCAAAAGGAATCTGATCTCATTAGGAACCCTTGATGAGGATGGGTACTGTTATAAGGCTCAAAATGGTTGTATAGTTGTATACAAGGATAATGAAGTATTGCTAAAAGGAACTAAAACTAATGGCTTGTACATTCTATGTGGTCAATACTATCATGATTCTTTTAATACTGCTTTGTTTACTACTAACTTGTCTGCAGCTGAGAAATGGCATATGAGGATGGGACAGCAAGGCTATTTTGGAAATGACATAGTTTTTGATCTAGATTTTTGTGAAGTATGTGTGTTAGGTAAACAACATAGGATGAGTTTCCCAAAAGGAACTCATCAGGCCTCTAGATGTTTAAAGTACCTACATGCGGATCTATGGGGTCCAGAGAGGGTTAAATCACATGGTGGGAATTCATATTTCCTGTCCATTGTAGATGACTTCAGTAGGAAGGTGTGGGTGTACCTCCTAAGGTCTAAGGACGAAGCTTTAACCAAGTTTAAAGGCTGGAAAACTCTAGTAGAAAATCAGAGTGATAAAAGAGTCAAGGCACTTAGAACAGACAATGGTTTAGAGTTTTGTAACTCTAAATTTGACACTTACTGCACTAACCAAGGGATACTAAGGCATAGGATAGTGAGGAGAACCCCACAGCAAAATGGGGTTGCTGAGAGAATGAATAGAACCTTGTTAGAGAAAGTTAGGTGCCTACTTTTCCCCTCAAGGTTGTCTAAAACCTTTTGGGGAGAAGCCTTAACCACTGCAGCCCACCTTATCAATAGGTCCTCCTCTAGTGCTATAGACTTCAAGTGTCTTGAAGAGAAATGGACTGGTAAGAAGCCTAGCCTCAATCACTTACGGATTTTTGGGTGTGCTGCCTATGCACACACAAATGATGGGAAGTTAGAGCCAAGGTCCCTTAGGTGTGTATTTCTAGGATACCAAGAGGGGACAAAGAGGTACAGACTTTGGGAAAGAGAGGCATAGGGGGTCAGGGTTATAATTAGCAGGGATGTGGTCTTTAATGAATCAGTTTTTTCTTGTAAATCTACTAACCCCATTGCAGAAACATCAGATATTGAGTCAGCAAATGTGAATCAAACTGGTACCACCCAAATTAAGGTGGAGCCAACAATTCATCACACGGATCTACCCAACTTTGATGAAGACACTACACCTGTAGTAATGCAGCAAGATGTTGATGCTGTGCAAGATCCTGAAAAAGCAACTAAAGAGATTGGTGAATGGTCTCAACAAGGGGACCTTGCACATTATCAGCTTGCAAGGGACAGAATCAGGAGGGATATAAGGCCTCCAGCGAGATACAATTATGCAGACCTGATCTATACAGCTCTAATTGCTGGTGGTGAAATTCAAAGGGTTGAACCTACCACTTATGAAGAAGCTATAAGTTCTAAGAACAAAAAATAGTGGCTAGCTGCTATGAGTGAAGAAATGCACTCTTTAAAGGTGAACAAGACTTGGTCATTAGTTTAGAAGCCTAAGGATCAAAAGTGTGTAGAGTGCAGGTAGCTGTTCAAGATAAAAGAAGGCATAAACCCTTCAGACCCTCAAAGATACAAGGCCAGGTTAGTCGTAAAGGGCTACACACAACGAGAAGGTATTGATTTTAATGAAATTTTTTCTCCAGTAGTTAAATTTAAAACAATTAGATTGATGTTATCTATTGTTGCTCACTATGACCTAGAACTAGAGCAATTAGATGTTAAGACTGCATTCTTACATGGTAAACTGGAAGAAGCTATTTTCATGAATCAGCCTATTGGTTTCTTTGATAAAGACTTTCCTGAGCATATGTGTTTACTGCATAAATCTCTTTATGGACTTAAACAATCCCCTAGGCAATGGTATAAAAGATTTGACTCTTTTATTGTTGGGATTGGTTTTAATAGGAGCAAATATGACAATTGCTTTTACTTTACACTTAAAAATGACATGCCTATATATTTGCTTTTGTATGTGGATGACATGTTGTTGATTAGTGAATCTAAGTCCAAAATAAATGACTTAAAGACACAATTGAGTGCTGAATTTGATATGAAGGATTTAGGGTGTGCAAAAAGAATCCTAGGAATGGTGATAGAGAGAAATAGGAAGTGTAATAGACTAAAACTTCACCAAATGTCATATTTGCAGAAACTCACATCAAAGTTTGGAATGTCTGACTCTAAGGTAGTCTCTATACCATTAGCTAGTCATTTCATACTTAGCAAACTGCAGTGACCTAAAACAGAGAGTGAACTGATCAAAATGGAAAACATACCTTGCTCTAATGCAATAGACTCCATAATGTATGCTATGATCAGTACTAGACCTGATCTGTCTTTTGCAATCTCTTTACTTAGTAGATATATGTCAAATCCTGGTATTGAACGTTGGGCTGCATTAAAATGGTTGCTAAGGTACATAAATAGCACTGTGCATGTTGGTTTAGATTATTGTAAAAGATATGATACACTTGATCTTGTAGGGTATGTGGATTCAGATTTTTCAGGTGATAGAGACAGTAGAAAGTCCACTACTACCTACTGTTTTACGCTTGGAGGAAATTGTGTGAGCTGGAAATCCCAGTTGCAACCTTTGGTTGCATTGTCCACAACTGAATCTGAATATGTGGCAGTCACAGATGCTTTCAAGGAGGCCATATGGCTGCAAGGAATCCTACAAGAAGATAATCTGCTGGATGGACTTGTGACTGTCTATTCAGATAGTTAAAGTGCCATCCACTTAAGCAAAAATCCTGAGTATCATGAGAGAACCAAGCACATAGATGTGAAGTTTCATTTTGTCAGAGATCTCATTTCAAGTGGACTGAAAGATGGATGCATGAAGAATCAAGCATATCATGCTATAACAAGTATAGTCATAGTTAAAAAAAAAAAATTTCAATCAAATTGAAATAAGTAAGGTAGAACATGTTACCTTAAGTACTTAGCAACCTTGGAGACTCATAATTTCAAGAGAAATTAAGCAAAAGAGTATCCACACCAAGGGAAGAAGAGATTTGACCAAGAGGGAGATTTAGGGTTCTTAGAGATTTTTCTCTACACAAAAATTCATATATCTTTTTCTTTATATAGGAATCCTTGTAAACAATTCAATAATTGTTTTGGACTTCCTTAAACGATTCCATAATTGTTATGAAGTTGTTAAATTTCTTTAAATTATAACATTGGATTAACATTTAATCACAATTAACAATTTAACTCTTAAATTGTTTACATAACAATTTAACCCTTAAATTGTTTACAATTACAACCCCTTGTGAAATCCAATTTAATATAAAGAAAATGATTAATATAAATAACTTTATTACCTTTGGTAGGTGCTAGCCAACCTTGGATAATCAACTCTCTTTGGCTATTTCTTCATTCTCCTTAGTTTTATGTGTGACCTCTTAGGTTCACTGTGGCCTAGCCGTGGGCCCAATATCATAGACTATTTCGATATGTTTTGTCATAACTCTTTATGAACAAAACTCCCACTGATTATGGTAGGCATCTGGCAATGCTCCATAACCCTTAAGTCACAATGAAGATATACTCCAACAAACCTTTTACAATCATACACGTTGTATAATCAAATCCTTCCGTTGTATAATCCCAATTAAGAATGGATTCATGGTATGTCAAAATCCTTATCTTAATTTTAATACAGTATATACGGAACGTGTCACCATGAAACAACCTTTCATGTAACATTTTATATACCCCGGCCGGAGATTTTCCTTTTCCAATGTATCTTGACATTTGTCTAGGAACTTGATATCAATCTATACCAAGTCAGGTCTTGTAAACAGGAAGGACATGAAAGGGCTACTTGTCCACTGTTAAAGACAAAAATTTTTGAGAAAGGAGGTTCGTCAAGCGCTGCAAGCGTGGTGACTCCAACTACTCCACAAAAGAAGCGGTTTATTGACGCAGATATTTGTGAGAGGTTTAGCTTTCCAGAAGGAATACGGTTAACTTCAGCTAGTCAAACTCTCTGGGAGAATCTGGAAACCCAAATTAGGATCGCAGTGGCGACAAGACAAGGGGAAGTACAGCTATAGAAGAGTTTAAAAAAGCTAGCAAGGAGGTTAGCATGGCTGGAAGCAGACAGACTGTTCTATGAGGACGAGGAGTTTCGGGGAACTTCTCAACTCTATGAAGCAGGAATTCAAAAACTTGAGGTAATGAGAAAATGTCATAAGTTTGACATGGTAAAACTCCAACTCGAGAATTTGAATGAGTTAATAGTAAAATTGGGAAAAACTGACTTGACGGATTTGGTTCAAGGATTATCAGTTTATCCTAATGGCACTATGGAATTGTTCGTTCCATGGAAAAACTTTAGAAAAGGTTTCTGTCGAGATCTTTTGACTAAAGGATGGATCGACACAATGCAAATTGATGTACAGGAAGCAATGGTGGACCCGAATCTACCAGACGCGGTTAAGCAAACGCTCTGTTTTTTGAATCGGAAAGTCGACACATTCACTTGCATGATCACTTCCTCATTGCAAGAGAACAAATATGTTCAACCTGTACAGATATGGGAATTTTATGTAGGAGAACCATGGCATCGCATTATGTTAAATAGTGAGATAAAAATGGGTTCTTATGCACTAGAAGAAATTCAGAGGAAAGAAGAGGAAGATTGGACCAGGTTACACATTGCGAAGATGTTACTGGTAAAATCTAAACTGGAAGAGCTTATAAAAGCAAATGCTACTGTCCATATTCAGAACGGAATTGTGGTAGTAATACCAGACAGGTATGCATTGGTCCAGGATACTCTGTTTTCTCATAATCAGGCCCAGTTGAGAACGCTACTAGAAGGGTTCGATTTAACCCATCTATCAAAACAGGCCTTAATGGAAGGAACTATTGATCTTCTTCGGTTGGTCTTAGCCCACGACCAAGAAACCCAAGAGGATGAATCTCTGAAGGATTTTCTTGATTTTGTTGAAGTTGATAACTTCAAGGATGAATCAGATATCCAAGAGGACAGAGATTTGACAACCATTAAACGTCCAACATGTAGACACGACGTGTACCAAACAGCGGAGTAACATGTGAACATTCAGGATTTTGCCGACGAAATTCGACGACTCGGATTTAAAGAAGCTTTGGATGTTGATGTGTTATCTATAAAAAATTTGTCTTGTAAGACACGTGGGAGACATGTGGACCCCAGTGTCATTATATGTCATTATTAGATAGATAATATGTCGTTTTAGCTTAAAATAGAGCAAAAGTAAAGTTTACTTTATCTTTACTTTTATTTTTTTAATTTCTAAGTTGTAATAATTATGTTTTTCTTTTACGGATTCAATTACATTTGAATTTCGGAAGCCTTCTCTATATAAAGAGAAGCATTTGTACATTACAAAAAAAGGGAAAATCAATAATATTTTCAGTTTGTAAAAATTCTCTCAATCTCTTGATTACTGTATATTGTTAAACTCGAAACAAGAAACAGGTTTTATTCAAGACGATTGAAATCCAGGTATGAGTTTTTCCTGATAACTGAATCTATGTGTTTTCCTTTTCCAATTAATTAACTAGGATTGTTATTACTAGTTATTAATTGTAATAATATTTGTTAGACTGGATATAACAAATATTATGTGGGTCTAAATGGTATCAGAGCTTTGGAAGACGGGGGTATGTGTTATACCTGTTAACCTGTTGAAAGTTTCTTGATAGCATGAATAATGATTTAAATGATGAAGTCTGTTTGAATAAGACTTGTTTTCATTTAGATCATGGAATCGAGGTAAAACCGGAAATCGGTTTGTTAAACACTGTCGTAGATAAGTTAGAGCTTTTGACCCAGAAGCTTGAAAACTTAGACAGGAGAGTGAATTATACGGTGTATCGTATATTTGCTCTAAACGAAGAATTAACTCAGATCGGGAATCAGATTGAAAAGGTTAATTCTATACTTCAAAAGGTTTCTACACTGGAACGTGTTCTAACTATTTTACTAAATCAGTAAAATAGGAGATGTCTCTGGTGTTGAGTGACATCGAACAAGTGTGGCCTATTGAAGGATATACTGAACAAGAGGTTAAACGGGTGGTGTTAGACCTCTGTAACGGCAATCCGGATATTCGGGAAGAGTATCTAACTTGGCTAGGTGTGAAGCGATTTTTGGATGTTGTTCAAAAGGCTTTTAGTCAAGGGTGCACAAAGATTTTGTGTTTTATTTGCCGGATTTCCACCATTGAAGTCTCTGAGCTAGAGCTTCGGAATAAGTGGTTGGAAAAAGCTGAGGCGAAAATTCCTTATTGGTACGGTGAGTCCCAGCCGGATCTAGATCCAGAACCGTATAAAGAGTCGGACTTTGCAACTGAGTTGAGACCTGATTCAGACTGACCATGGGTGGTCAGGATGTCTTGGACCAGTTCGCAGCTAGTTTGCAAGGAAAATATCCCGGACTTCCTCCAGGATATGCGCAGTTCGTTGCCAAAGAAACCCAAGGTGATTGGGAAAAGGCGGAAAAACTGATCTGCCAAAAACCTGACTTCAGATCAAATTTAGAGAAGATTTTTCCAAATCTAGCTTTATTCAAACAAGTGATCTATTAGGTATCTTGTAAGCATCGTCAATGGTTTTCTCATTTAACTGCCTATAATTGATAACCATCCGCTCTTTACCTCTTAACTGCTCAGCTCTATTCATAACCATGAATGCTGGTGAAGAGTGTGGCCTTTTACTCGCGCGTATTAATTGCTTTTCTAGCAATTCCGGTATTTGCTTATTGAATTCCTCCTCTGCATCAGGAGTATAAGGAAACGATTTGGTCTTAATCGTATCATCCTTCCTTTTTAATTCAAGTGAAGCATATATACGGTTCCTTTCCCATAACTTTAATGGTTGTTCATCAAAGCATGGAGAAAGTTCCTCTTTGAAGGATTTTAAAAGTTCCTCAATCCTTAAAGAGTTCTTTTGGCTTTTGTCTTCTACCTTCAAGATCCATTCCTTATGTATAACTTCATCCGTGCTCTCAGGGCATGCACCAGAGGGATCCTCCTCCTGCGATATACCCCGTGCGATCCAGTGTTTATGATGACTAGGATACAATCTTTGAAAGAAAACATTGCAAGCCTCATCCACTTCTTCTGCATCAGAAGGTTTCAACCACCAATTCCTTGTTTCCAAAACCTGGAAAACAATGTGATCTACTTCTTGCCTTAATTTCATTGGTCTAAAACCATTTCTTACCTTTGAAACTTCAGGCTTAGCAAGAATAGGGATTTTGTGACCTCCAAGGATAATGTGGTCGTTATCCTGAGTAAATGGTCTAACTTCTGCCTGACCTCGTAGAAAGCTATTCTCAAGAATAAAATCAACCTCTAAGTAATCCACTATTAGAACTTCTCTTAGAGTGAATTTTTTCTCGTTTAACAGTACAACCACGTTTTCCACTACATCCGTGATCATACTTTGACCTCCATCCGCAACCGTATTTAGGGTAGGTCTTTCCAATGGTTTCCACAGTTCTTGAGGAAAACATTGCTTCCTTGCAATACATTTGGTTGCTCCTGTGTCTATAAGAATATCCAGAGTATATTCCTCATATTCAGGAAAACACAGTGTCGCACGTATGCATGTATCAATAGTCCCCTGAACTATTGCATGACAATGCATTTCATGACTCATCATCATTTTCGTGCTTTGAGTATCTTCTTCATATACTGGAATTTGCACAGATTTATACCCAACAAT